TTTAATGTCTTTGCTCCAAAGAGGACTGAGTAACAGTAAATACCTTATCTAAACACATAGGCACTACGTGCCTTTCATAGTGTGAGTGAATGTGACTGTAATTGTAAATACAGCTTTAGTAGCACTGAAATTCCTACTCAGAAATGAGTGTGGACAGGACTCCAGACAGTGAAGATGTAGCAGTGAAACTGCTTACGCCAGGCTCTGTACCTCTTTCCACAGCATCAGCGATCCTAAGAGCTGTCATATTTAAATGTATACTACCATATGAAACTATACAAGTACAAAGTATAAAGTAAAACATTGCTCTCAGCATTGAACCAGCTTGCTGTACTGATTCAGGAGCTGCAGTGATTCTGACAGAGTATTAATCATGGATGGCTAAACTAAAAAAAAACAATGTTTTATGGAAAGACACACATTACTCAACGGGAAATGTATTTGAAGGAACTACTGTCTGTGTATCTATTTCCTGCCAAGTGTTCTGACACATCCCACCTTATGGATTAAAGTGAAGACCAGACCAAGACCCCATACGGCTGTTAGGCATGCAGTAGACATTTGCCACCACTGGATTCACAGGCTATGACTAAACGGTCTGAAACGGATTCTTCTCTCTGATGTCATAAGGAATTTAACCACGGTGCTTTGTAGTCATAACATTGTATTGGTCACAAATAGCTATTGGTGGAGGACACAACAGCATTTGATGGGGGTTCAAGTTACGCAACACTTGCATCAGTTCCTCTATTAAAAGTGCCAAAGTCTTTAGTCAGTGTGACCCAAACAAAGTAGTCTCATCTCTTATTCTAAATAGAAAACATCTGTTTCCCTGGACTAGGAGCCAAGCATCTTTCCTCTAAACCAGCACAGAATAATGAGAGAGCATCACTGTGATAGCACTGACTTCCATTGCAATAAAATGATGTTTAGGTCAGACTGCGATCTTTGTCACTAAAGATGTCACTATTACACCAAGTTATCCAGCACAATCATCCACTTTGTAGGAGTCAACTTTCTGTCAAAGATTGAGGAAAAGGTTTAAGTATTATTTAATCCATTTAATCAATGTACTTTTTTAATGCCCAGTGAACTTAAAAAATGTATAGTCATAATGTCATGGAATTGCCAATCATACACATTCTGTATGGCATTCAATGGAAACTATCCAGTTATTGGAGAAGTAATGACAGAAATGGTGCTTTGGTTAAACCAAGATGCTCGGTACCAGCTGACTGCGATTCTATTAATTAACCACATACAGAGGAAAATTCCAGAGACGGAGAGAGGAATGAGGACAGACAGCATATCCTCCACATGAAAATCAAAAGACACCACTTGTCAAGCATGTTTCCTTTCAGCTGAGAGCCAGCTGCACACATGCAGCTGTGTGTGGACTTCACAGTCAACAGAATCATATAATATCAACCATGTTGACTTCAATCACACCATCTGCTCCAAGGGTCAGTTAGGCCAATGTACACTTCCCACGTTCATACAGAATGCATGACACACGCAGCTACCCCTATTTACTCATAAAAAAGTGTAATAGCGTACTGAAGTGTTTATTTATTATCAAATTGGACTGATTAATTGTGTTCATACAAATTTTCACATTAATATGTTTGCCCTGGATCTAGGAGTAATTCAACCACAGGACAGAAAATGCCATGAAAATACAGATGAATCTGTTTTAATGTAATATGTGTACACTGTTGCTATCACTTAGGTTGATCTATATTATAGATTAAATAAGGTATTTTAAAAAGGCCATAAAGAAATATTATATAAATGCTACAACAGAAAACAAATTAAAGCAATGTTTTAAATTTATGATTGAATTAAACTTCATTGAAATTTCATACTGAGAACAGTATCAATACATTGGCTTTTTGCTCCATTGGATGTCATAATGATAACTATAAAAAAAAAAAATCAATAGCATTCTCATCGTACTTCCATGTGGGTCAAACTAAAAAATGCATGTTGACAGCTCTGTGGATTCACTCAGCAGTAAGAGCCTGTGTCTCTAAGGATAGATAGGCATTCCGCTTTCAATCATGCATTAAAAACACTCTTTACTGTATATTATTCTGTGGCATAGCCTGAATTAATCTTTAACACAAAAAGTGTTCTTGACAAAAGTCAGCATTTATACCACTATGGGAGAAATAGAGATTGCGTTGAATAGCCTGACTCAATGAACGTCTGTACAATAGCCAAACCCGAAAAATTCCCACTACAAAGAGAGGGAGGCAGGCCTCATTATCCTTTGAGCCATAGGGTGTCTGTATATTCAGATTTACCATTCAAACTTGTTATATTACAACTTTAAACTCTAGCTTAAGTATTAAGGCAAAAAAATTAGGCCAAATGCCTAAAATAATAATTTTAAGATGACACTTGAGACCAAGAACACCATACTGATGCCAGACATTCCTTTTGACTTCAGGTTCCATTCAGCTCCTTAAGTAATATGATCTAAAACATATGGGATTAGAAGTAATTAGCACTTACTGGCTGCAGTGCCATGTATATTTAGAGTTATTTATGATAATTGAATGAATGATTATCAAATAAACCTGCATACTAGCTGTACTGAGGGAGCAACTAGCTTAGGTCCTAACTGTACAATGTACGAAAGTCATTTTAGATTCCTGTGTGAGGCAAATGGAATCCTCAGAGTTACAGGCTGATCAGTTAACTGATGTAATATGAGACCAGAAGTTGCTTATTTAATTATTCCTTGTCAATATCAAACTCTTTGTTGTCACTATTGCAAAAAGTGCATACTTTCCATTGTTAAGACAGCTTGAAATACTATTAAAACTGGACAAAGAGGGTTTGTCTAGGCTCTGTTGCTGAACACAATGCTCGGAATGAAGCCAAGAACAGCGGGTGAGTGAAAAGGAGACGCATCTCTATGACAGCCAACACTGCTAAAAATGACTGTTCCATTTCTCATTGCTGCTGATTAATATTACACAAGATTTAAACCTTCAAAATGAAAGTACCCTATTTAAAAGAGGTCATGGTAAGGTAGTGACTCCACTCAATGGGGATTCAAATTATTTAACATATCAAAGAATTTTGCATGTCACTTTTAAACATATTGTAGTTCCTAACAACCTCCTTTGTAACACTCTTGTTAGTTTCCACTGACGTTCATATGGGCTGTGTGTTCTTTATAAAGGACTCGCAAACTATTGGCTTCCATAGTTATTTTGTATTATACTGTATTGCTGCAGCCCTGCACAATTATATATCATTCAATACTACTGATGTACTCACATCACTGAAAGTGCATGAATGGAACTATTAAACTAGTCTCCAGATAGATGAAAGAAAAAGATCATTGGACTGTATAAAATGCCAACATTTTACTCATGTAAATGGGGTTATTTCAAGTGGAAAAATTACAACTACATTATGTACCAAATTTAGCTCTGCTGAGGTTCAAAATCAACACACTCTTCCTAAAATAGCATATTTCCTTGAAAGCAAAACTTCGGTAACAGCACAGTCTACATCACCCCCAAAGCAATATTGCCTTTGAGCAAATTAGTAACACACGATAATAATAATGCAGGATATGCATTACTATTTTACATTACAGTTTATGTAAATGCCTTTGGAATGTATAGAATGTAAACTGTTGCATTGTTTATCCAAAGAAAGCCATCAGGAATGTTTACAGTGTTAGTTATACAATCCTTTGACAAGTGCTTATTGAAAAGTCTGCAAACTATTACGCACATGTGGCTAACATTTTCTTTTTTACCCTGAACGGCAGACTGAAAACAAAGAAGACAAAGACACCACATTCATGGGAGCTGTGGCATTCTTCTCAGTCACATACACAACTGTTTACTCTACACTTCAGCACCGGACCTTTTTTAACAGAGGTCAAAGCACATGGACGGTGTTTAAAAATACTGCAGACACAAACTTGCTCACACATTCCGTACGTGGTCTCTCCGAAAAGATGTGTTTAAATTAGGCTGCAAAAATTTTCATAAGTGCTCATGTCCAACAGTAGCATGCCACGTAGCTTATAAAATGTTGTGAATGTACACTATTTTAAGTCAAGCTGTAGTCAGACAGAAATAACATAAGGGCTTAAAAAGTTATGCTAAGAGGCTGCCGTGAGGCTCATCCTGTTCAGGCACTCTTCTAGAGTGTAGATGGGCCCCCCAGTCTTCTACTACATATTGACTGTGCCAAGGCCAACCGTGGCTGGCACCCCCATTAGGTGGCACATAATTGGCCATAACATCACCTGTGGCATGAAGTATGTCAGTCAGCGGGAAGTCTCGTTGTGTCTTGTTGCCAGTTATTCTGTTCTCTGGTTAGTTAGCCACCATGGTTTGCCTGTAAAAGCTTTACATGCAGTTTCCTTCTTTGACTCAGTGTTGGTGCAAGCTTAACTGGTGACCCCAAGTGAAAAGAATCAAGAGCTTGATGTCATATATTTCCATGGACAGCATGCTCTTATCTGCACTCTCTTACTTTGACAGAGGAAAGTAGCAGTGTTGAGCACGAAGGCACACAAAGTTGGAATTCCAACCTGGGAGAAAAGAATCTGGGCAGGGACCTTTCCCTGAAAACGTTCTTAGACGTGTGGGCCAGTTATTTACTCTGTACTATCAGCCTTGAATATTAACATGCCATGACTAAATCATTTCATTGGGGTGTATTCTGAAATTCTTGCTGACTTTATCATGATACTGGGATCATATTTACTATTCATTACAATAAACATAGAATCATGCTGATTTTATTTCTAAATTGCTTCACTAAAATCTTCCATATTTTAAAACAGGCACAGGAAGCATTTTGATTGCTTTACTTCTTCCACTCAAGAGGAAATCTCTAATTGAAATGCCAGCTGATTCTTTTTAAATTCAATTTGATTACAATTTAGGAATTTAGCAGATGCTATTATCCACAGTTTACATTTTGAGAGCTATTCAGGTCCATTACCTTGCTCAAGGGCACAACAGCAGTGTCCTACCTGGGAAATGAACCCAGCACATCTGAGTTGGAAGCCCAGACCCCTAACCATTATGCTTCACTGCTCCTCTTCTCATATTAGCCACATGTGCATTCTGCAGCTTAAAAAAAGCAGCCAGTTTTACACATTTCTGTTGTACCATTCCATGACGCAACTGCTTTAGCTAACAGAAAGACTTCCTTTCACATTGCAGGGTATTTTGGGAAACTCATTACGGCATCCCACATGGGACATCATGGGAAAGATGGAGCCAGACTGAAGTGATGTGCCTTCCACTGCCTCTGTGATCTTTCTCAAATCTGGTCCAAAAGACCCATCAGGTATTTGAGCTGAGATCTTTGTCAATTAAGTATAATTGAGCTGTTAGACTATGTCAGTTAAGTTAATTAATTTAAGGAGTTTAAATGAATACAATTACAATAGAACAGAACATTATATGATAGAAAGCAATTATCCAATATTTGTAATAAAAGTAGCAGTTGTCTTCTCTTTAACAAAGTCAAATGCATTTCAGAACTGGAACAAGAGTAAGAATACTTTGTTGGTCCTTGGGGACAAGATCTGTAATACAAGACAAGTAAATACCAGTGGTATTTCTCTTTCTTATTTTCATCTTCTTTTCTTATACAAAAATTCAGTTAGTGAAACTAAGTGTCTGTATTCCAAAACGTGAAATCCTGCATAGATCTGCATAGACTAGGGGGTGGGGGGGTGTGAACTGACCAAACTGACCAGGGTCCTAGTCTTTCCAAGGATTGATATGTCCTGACATTTTGATCTGATTTTTCCTTCTGAAATTTTAGAGCTCAGAAATTACCTTTGGTGTATCTTAATAAGTTAAGATACAACAATTTATCATTTTTTGGAGAAATGTTTAATATTTAAAGTTATCCTAATATTAAGGTAATCAATTAATTATTTATTGGTGATTTTTTGTGATGTAATTTGTCACTTCCGACCACGGCACAAATACCACAAGGATACATGATAAAATATTCAGCAAAGCTGTCATTATAGTGTCTCTCTCCATCAATCATTCATCAAAAATACCATGAAATGCAGTCTTGTACTTTACCCACAAAGTAATGATATATATTTTTAAAACACATTTCTTTGTTTTCCCCTTTTCTTTTTTCAGTAAGGTTTAAGGTATAGTAATAAGGTTAATTGAATAAAGGGTTCAGACAGAAAAAGGAAAGCATACCAAGGACTGCTGTCCAGGACGAACAGGAAGTAAGGTTAAATGATGAACCAGATGGATACAAATTCGCACTGAGCCTATGCCTACAATACATCTGAACACTCCTGCGTCACATTGCTCCCAAAATGAACGACAGAAGAGTGAATGTGTTTTGTTCAACCTTTATGGTTTTCTGCCTGCAATAAAAGATTATAAAAAAGTTCACACAATCTGCATTCCTGAGCCTAACAGAATGTTGGCAAGAGGCAACAGAGGATATTATTTTCCTCTGGCTATTATAGGGAGACTCATTTGTTTTACGGATTATGAATGTCTATCTAGTGAGCTTATTAAGCCAAGCAAAACAATATTACTATTGTCCATAACTTTTAACTTTTTTCTTTTGAACTGAGATCATTCACATTCCTCTAATGTTTTGGATTAGATGTGGTAGTTTCTAAAATTACTGCGACGTTATCATTAACCTGTGAGGACAATTCGAGCACAAATGACAGTACAGTACTTTTGTGTACTTTGTATATTTATTACAGTCACAATATTCAAATATACCTTTTACATTAATTATTACTTATATAAAGCTTTTGTCCACTAACCTTGTCTATTAACAGTTTTAAAAAAGGCAAGCCTTCACCTGTGAGCAATCTTTCATACCACCTCCACACAATCACATATCAAGTTTAAATCAAAAGTGACCTATGGGATACTAGCAAGGTTTCCAGAAAACAAAATCAGAAAACAAAACAATAAAAAAAAACATTAAAATATTACTGAACTACATTCTGTGAGATGACATAGCCCACATCGATACAAGAATTACAAATGTGTCTGTTTCCATAACAACAAGGCAACAGGTGGTCAGCGTATGACTTTGTGTCTGATATTACTGATAATCACAGTTACAGATGGTCGAACGTGACATTGAGGATATGCTGAGAGCATTCCCTGGTTTGCTAAAAAAAAAAAAGTGAGACCTCCTTTTGATTGGTTAAGTGGATCTGTGTCTTAATTTAGAATCTGATATTTTGAATCGCTCTGGATAAGAGCGTCTAACAAATGCCTTTAATGTAATAATAATGTAATATAATGAATCTTGAAACCTATGGAAACCTAAGGAAAATGTCAACAGATGTTTTAAAGCATGGTACTACTGCAATCCTACATCAACATCAAGATTAACGGTTAACCTGATGATACATCTTTATTCATTTATGTAAATGATATTTCCCACTGCCTTGTTAGAATATGTGCCAGACACAGTGTTGTCACATTGGGTCATGTGTTCAAACACCATGCAAGTAAAAAAGCTGCAAAAAAGTACTAGTAATTCCAACTATATCTCTGGACCACAATACTACTATAAGAGCTGAAGAGGGGAGAGACTGGCCTGGAGCACAGCTTGGCATTTTAATTCTACTGATAGCTGAACTTATCAAGCTGTCAAGAAAAAAAAAACACTTGACCTTAATTATGAGTTACATTTTGGGATAGATATTGTTTGAATTCAGGTCTAAAGAGGGGATAAGATAACCATGCAAAATTAACATATTTCCTGTCAAAAATAAAATAAAAGAAATTCCTGTCCAACTCAATATTAGTTAGCTTACGTAACATCCAGACTGTCACAAGAGGGGACACCTGATTCTTCTTACCCACCTCATCAGAGTTCCCTCCTCTGACCCCACCCCCCAAACAGCCCACACCCCAGAAGACACGGCCAAGACAGCTGCTGCTAAAATTAGCCAGCCAGTAAACGGCAGAGCCCTGACCTGAGACAAACGGGAGGGTGCACGGGACGAAGGGGGCTGAGAAATTGAAGTCATCTGTGTAAACACTGTCATAACACTCCCTGCAGGCGCTCGAAGGGAGCCGGGACTTCCCGGCATCAACGCCTCTCAGGTTGTGACAATTAGAAAGCCATTTGGCTCACTTATAATTTCAACTTGACTGTTACTCCCATCATTGGCCGAGGTGAAAAGCCAGTGCTCAGGTGATCTGGTGACAACGATGCTTTGACTAAGGTTTATGGCTCAGGAGAGTAATGACTCAACACACTAGGTGACAACTGTGAAGGAAATTCAGCTTTAGCACCATTTTAGTGGACTCTGTAACTGCAAATGTAATATATTGTAACCCCATGTGCGCACACACACACAAATTCTGCTCATACATGTACTAGGTCATTTGTACAGTGCAGGTGAAAAGGGATGATTATAATTTGCTGTGATAAAAGTTATATGATCTACAAATTAATAACCAACTTTACGCCATTGCATAAACATACAGACACCGTACAATGCTATCCTTTACTGATGTGCAATTAAAAAGGCATAATGCCTGCTAAGTTAAAATTAAAACGGCTTAATGGGTAGTAAGACTGGCTACTGTTTTTCCTTCATCGAAACTCCTTTGCTTTGATGGTTCAGTTTAAACAAACCCACAGCTAATAGTAACAGCAATTAAGTGTGATACTGTGCAGGCACTCATCCTGTTTACTAGAATGACATCCTGAGTGTTTCACTGCCAACATCAGTATAACTATTAAACACAATGTTCTGCCAATGGTTACTGAAGACGTGGGTGATTCAGTACAGCCTCAGAGCAACTTCAAATTTTATATAAACATGATAGTTTTCATTTCAGTTGAAATACACTTTAGTCCATATGCCTAGTCTGACTAAAATTAACTTAATCATATGAACCATTTTTATTTTCTTTCCAAAGGCCTCACGACGTCCAGGGCCATTTATCCTTGAAATTGAAATCAACGGCAACGATGATCATCCAAAAATACAGCTCTCTGGAAAGCAATTTTAAAGTCCTGACCGCTTGTGGACTGGTTGGTCAACTTCAAGGAAGCCACAGGTCTCAGTGCTCTGCGAAGCCTGGGAACTCAGTGCAATGGGCTTTAAGTACATGGTTGGGATAAAACAGATGTTGGATGGGAAGTGATAGATGCAAAATACTCCTCCCCCCCAGAAATCCAGTGTGACTGCAGAAGAGAGGAATTCAAAACTGAATAACACTGATCATCAACTGACCAATCAACCCACCCACAGGTGACAGCATAGCATTGCCAGAGAATTTTACAGCCAAAATGACTAACAGCATGTCGTTCACAGTGGATCACTGCTCACTGTTTATCAAGGTTCTTAAAACATATCTAAATTCAAGAATATCAAGCAATTCTGCTCTCATCATTCCTCATTCATTTGTCATGTGAAAGAAACATAGTATCTTCTGTAAATCCCTTTCTTTTGTGTTACTCCTGCATGCAGCATGTGGAGTTGTGTTATTTAATCATTTATGAGGAAATCTAGGGACAGGCTGCAAGATGGGATGCAGACAAGACCACTTGCTGTGTGGTCATTACAGGGCTGCTTTAAAATTCTGACCACTCTAAGACATTCAGCATGTGTTCTAAATTGCCCTGCATTTTCGGCACCTGAGTTTACTGGTCCGTAAATCAGTCGAAATCCACTTTGTGCATACCCAACTGCCGTAGCTGAACGCAGTAATTGGTAACGATTAAGCAGTGATTAATTACATAGAGACTAATTATAATGAGTTTTGTATAATCCAATAAATTACTACTGTAAGTGAATGGATTAGACAAGACTATTTTTATAATCAAACAACATGTTGAACCCTTAGCTACAAAAAACAAAATAAAAAAACCAGCTCAGCGCTCTGGCCTGCCTACATATCATTGTCCAATCTGCAAAGTTTCACAATGCACACATCATATAAAATAATTATAAGCAGATTGCAAATTTTGACAGAAATATAGATGCCACTGAGCATTTTTTAACCACAAAACGACCTCCTTAGTTCACAGAAGTGTCTCATTGGTCATATTTTTGAGTA